GGATGAGGTTCTTCCAGTTATGAAATGACAAGGTGACCAAAGTAGATCTGTGAGTAACTTGCTTTCATTGTTCAAATGCCCCTCCAGTGGTCTGCAGCCTCTTTCACTTCCTCAGTGACAATTCAGTCCTGAAGCAAGATAACATGAGAAAGCTCCTTCATGGTTTTTTTCAGTCGAGCATGTACAACAGAGACCTAAGGAGATTTAGTCTGCTAGGAAATATTTAACAACAACAAAAAAGGAAAAAAAAAACCCCACCATACAAGCAACTTTATCTTTTGTTATCTCCAAAATAACATTAACTGCAGAGATCTCCCCAAGGGAAATTCAAAAAGAATTCTCAAGAATCCAGAGTATACAGCAGAAATGCAGAAAGCCCTTTTGCAGGGGGAAAAAATGATTGAGAAAGTGGCAGGCAAACACTGACACAGCATTAACTAAAAGGAGAGGAGTGAAACTACAGAAACTTCCCTTTCATGGGATTTGTGGGTAGAATAATGCGTAGAGCTAGAAGGCAGATTGGTTACTGAGTTTTTATTAGCTTTTTAAATTATTAGTGGTTACAGTTTATGATTCAATTTTTTTCCGCTTGCCTGCCTTATGACTGGACAGTTTCCCACATCAGTAATCTTGCTGGGCTGTGAAGCCCAAGGCAGAAAGCACTCAAAGATGTTTAAGGAAACATATATTTATACTAAATATTGAGAGGCTGATGAATTGCATGAGCGCATAAATGGACACAAACACACACACACACACACACACACATTCATAAGCAAAAAATAAAACATTATGGCTGCAGGCCAGAGTAAATAAGATAAAGGCTTCAGAGGAGTCTGAATAATAAGGAGAATTTTCTTTGGTCAAAGGGTAGATTTCCAGAAATGTAATCAAGAAGCATGCAATCTTCACTTAATAAAAGCAATGGTGTATTTCTTTGCTTATGTGGTAAATTTGTTATAGCTGTACAAAGTCATGCCAGCATGTTAAACAGTTTGTGTAAAGGGAGGCTAGGGTTTTGGAAATAAAATATGATAGGCAAGCAGCTTTTGAAGCAGATGCACATGTAAACTAATTGGCTTTAATCTCATTTACTTCCACGACTAGCATATTTCATCATTGTAATTAAGAAATCTGAGGCAGCTGTATATTTGGAAAACAGCACCTCCAGCTGCCTTGTACAATGCAGGGCCTTTTGACAGAATTCCACACATCACTCCAGGGGTCAATGGCAACAGTGGCAAGACTTCCCATAGAAGCAAACCAGGATCCTTTTGTTTCAAGATGTTTTTGTGAAACATACCTGGATTGAATATAAAATAAGTACACGGACTGGTCTCTAGATAGTATTGAACTACAACTTCCAGAGCCCTTCCTGACATTTACAAGGCCTTTGAGCATTCGGATTCTGCCTTCCTCAAAGGCAGAAGCTCCCTCTGCTGTGATATATTTCAACAGAGGGTCTTATTTATTGATGCAATGAAAATTAGTGCTCAATTACAAGCGAATAACTAAATCCTCTGGATGTAAATTTTAACAGCAACAAGTCTCCTGTTTCTGCCCGTTCTTCTCAAAGGATGTGAATTATCATTTTGTTCTCTTATCCTTTGCTTATTGTCATGTTACCATTCTGTATTTATGTACAAATGTTTTGGACTAGTGTGAGAAAAGCTGGAATTGGAAGAGGTGTAAATTACAAGCACCAAAGGAAGGATGAGAGAGCCAGGGTAGCATTTGGATTAAAAAAAATTGGAGAAAAACTGAGGAGATTTAGATTCAAGTTTATGCTCAACCAGTGCCAGTCAGTCTCTTTCAGCTCCACTTATTTTATGGGCATGCCGCCATGAGGAAAAAATTGGAATATGAACATGATTGTTAATAGAGTACCACAGAATTTGTGGAAATCCCGTGAAATTTAAGATTTTTTTTTCTTATTCTTTTACTGGAGAATTGCACTCTGCATTTTCCACGTGCATATCATCAACCTGGCATCTTTAAAGGTAAAGTGCTTTGCAATTGAGCAGGGAGTGGCTGGATTACTGTCTTTATAGCCAAGTATCCTGACCTGATTGGCCTTTTAGGTGAGCTGCTTCCTGATTGATATAGGTTGCATCAACCCAAATCAGCCCTCACCAACCTACACCAATCAGAAACCAACTAAGGCTAAAGGCAAGGGTGGGATTCAAATTTTTAACAACTGGTTCTGTGGGCATGGCTTAGGTGGTGGGCGTAGCTTGGTGGTCATGTGACTGGGTGGACATGGCTTGGTGGTCATGTTATTGGCTGGGCGTGGCCAACTCAATAACACTCACATCAAGGCACGCATCTCCTCGCATGGCCTCTCGTGACTGTGGGGATACTGCAACAGTCGTAAGTGTGAAAAATGGTCATAAGTCACTTTTTTCAGTGCCATTGTAACTTTGAATGGTCACTCCACACAAGCAAAGTACCAGCAAAGGAGGGGAAAAAAAACTCCAGAGAAGTTCCTGAGACAGGAAGTCTAGTCCTGTCAAGAATGTAATAAGGGTTAACGGAGAGGCAGTTTCTGTAAGCAACACCAGAATGTTTCCTTCCTGCCTTCCTTACAGGATTAGGCCAGTAATTTCTTCTAACAACCAGTTCTCCGAACTGCTTAGAATGTTAGCAACAATGTTAGCGAATAGGTGCAAACTGGTAGAATTCCACCCATGGCTAAAGGCCACAGTTGCAACTGAAAAGACAGGAAATCTGTTATCTAGAGCACAATATGTAAAACCCGAAGCACAACGGTGCCCAACAGTCCAGAGAAGATTATATTTCTAATAAAACACACACAAATTAAGATGAAATCTAAAATAAGAATTTCTTATGTAATTACTTGTTGATAGATTTTCCTTCATGCTCTTCAATGGATTCTGACAATACAAGTAATCCTTGACTTACAGCAGTTCATTTAGTGACTGCTCAAAGTTACAGTGACATTGAAAAATGGGATGTATGACTGTTTTTCACAGTTACGACCTTTGTAGCAGCCCTGTGATCAAAATTCAGATGCTTGGCAACTGCCTCGTATTTATGACCATTGCTGTGTTCCAGGATCATGTGATCACCTTTTGCAAATTTCTGTCAAGCAAAGTAAATGAGGAGCCCAGATTCACTTAACAACTGGGTTACTAACTTTATCAACTGCAGTGATTCACTTCACAACCGTGGCAAGAAAAATCATAAAATGGGGCAAAACTCACTTAACAAATGCCTCACTTAACAACAGAAATTGCGGGCTCAATAGTGATTGTTAAGTTGAGGACTATCTGTATTTCAATTTGTAACATGCAAATATCTGTTTCATTAGATACCTATTTCATTGTAGATATTGCTGGGGTTATTATTTTAGTATCTCATAATAACAGCTAATACTTCAACAAATGCTGATGCATAAAGTGAAACAAATGAATATGCTCGTTTGGACAAACTGCACAACCATAAATAAATCTCTCAATTTTGGCATGCTGATATATTTAATAATACAGCATTTTTAACATTTTTTGCCCGCACGCTATGAAAATATAGAGAAGCCTTACCCAGCAAATGATTTGTTTGTATTGCTTTTTCTCATGTGATCAATCTTTTAAAAGGCAAAATTTGGAAAGGTGTGCAGTGATTCATGAAGAACTATCTTGTGTGAATGTACTGTCACTGCTAGAATGGAATTGTTGTACTCCAATGAACACCCCCATTATGGAGGAGCTTCATCCTGTCTCCTTCTGTTTGGTTTCCCCCCCGATTCTCATTCCAGTAAAATCGATGGGTACAACTCTAACACTGTCAACAGACTATTCCTCCCATTGGAGATACCCCATGCTGATGAAAACAGGCAATGCGTGACAAAAACCAAAAAAGAATAGGCTGAGTGAAGACAAGACTAAAGGGTCAGAAACAGTGCTAATTATTAACAACAAATGTGACAACAACAGAAACAGAATGTGACAACATGCCAAAAAAAGGGGGTGGGGTGGGGGAACAATATGAAGATGAGATGTTGAGAAACGTTTTCCAGCTTTGGAGCGGGAAAACATCTGTTGATGTAACTCCAGTTGATGATATTTATGCAATTGACAATTGCTGATTTCCACACCGCTCAAAATTTTAAATTGCTTTCTTTCTGGAGCGGAGCTATCCAACCTAATGAAATAATATTTCTAAGTCAAGCATGGCAGGAAGCCATACTGTTATTCTTTAAGCGAGTGGTTTACTAAAGTATCAAAGTAATTAGAGACTAGTTAGCCGGATTTGACATCTAGAGCAAGAGAAGTGAGATATAGTTTACTTTATATTTAGCTTGTATTATATATCTATACCGTGGTCCTCTCTTGAGTTTAAAACAATGAAGTAGAAACATTTTTCCATTAATGTCTGCCCATCTAAAAACCAACTTCTATTCAGCTGTGGCACTACAGATATTCATTAACTGATGTTATGAATGAATTGGTCTTCCAGAGTTATCTCGTTAAAGGCCAACAATATAGTAAATGTGGTCACACAATTAATATTCTGTTTTCTTGTCCCTTGTGATGGGATGGATTATATAACATTAAAGTTTGCTCCAGCGAGTGTCACATTATCTGGCTGCCAAAGGAGGCATTACAAATGACTCCCTTTCAAGGTGTGATGTTTTACATACATTCAATGCTCTTTTACCTGAGTGGTTGCACCGAGAGGGATCTACAACTCTGCCGGTCTTATCATAGCAGGCAAGTGCTCGGAAGCGCACACCTTCTCCACATTCTTTGCCATGTCTCTGAAATCTCATCTCCAACTGCAGCTCTGTTCTTCCTACCCCAATGATGCATTCCGACCAATTTCCATAAGGCTGGGAGGTAAATATTACACAAGGGCAGAGTTCCGTCTCAAGCTGAGGATAGACTTCGGTATTCTGGCACTTCTCTCGCTTTTTGCTTCTTCCTGTTCCAACCAGGAAAATATGCTTGTTAGCGTAACATCTGCTGCTTTTGATAACAATATGTCATATTATTTATACTTGAAGGGTTTTAATACAGTTAGAACCAAACCATCTGAAATGTAAATACAGCAGCAGAGTTGGTTCAAAGACATCTGTTAGTTCCTGTCAGAGCTCTGGAGAGCTAAGACGATGGGGATATCTCCAGGGCAACCAGGAAACCTAAAGAAACTTGGAGAGAATCTTTTGGATGAAGCACAAAACAATAACAAGGAGAACAACTATCTGATTGCTTTTGTACAAAAGAAAAAGAAAACAAAAGCCGTTCTCCCCCTCTGAAATTATCTGAAGAAAATAATTTTATTGTACCATTCTCCATTTGCCGCCTACAGATAGTTGGGGATCCTACAAATGTAGAAGAGTGAGTTGCCTCTCTTTCTTTGAATCTTTGGTATAAATTTTGTATAAATTAACCGAACACAATTTCCACATACAAATAGTAGGCCCATCTTTCGAAATTACTTGGCATTTAAGTAATTAGTAAGAACTTCAATTTTCCAAGACTTTTTCTAACACAGACGGTCAGGCAAACGTCCCAAAGATACTATGGCATATACTTAACCTATTACTCTTCATTATTTATTACATTAGCTCAGATATTGTGATGTATTTATAGAAATCTGGGCCAACCAGGATGTCAGCAGTTTGGGACAACACAATGAATTTAAGATCTATGCCAGAAACCACAAGGTTCCATTTACTAGAACAGAAGTTCTGAAACATCCATTTGTGATGCCAAAATATTTTATTAAAAATGATTTAAAAATACAAATTAAAATAATACAGAGCTCATGAGACAACCCAGTCTCTTATGAAGTTTGTTTTCTCGCATGAAATCACATGAGACTTTAGTCATGTTAAGTATTAAAATTTAATCCATAAGATCAAATGAATTCCTGTAATAGGGTTTACTACTTGAAAAAGTTGCTAAGCTCTGATTAAATATCAGTATGATAACAGTGTTCCAATATCTAAGGGGCTGCACGAAGAAGAGTGGGTCAACCTATTCTCCAATGCAACTGAAGACAGAATAAGAAGCAATGGATGTAAACTAATCAAAGAGAGATTCAACCCAGAAATAAGGAGAAATTTGTGATATTTAGAACAATTAATCAGTGGAATGGCTTGCCTCCAGATATTGTGGGTGCTTCAACCCTGAAGGTCTTTAAGAAGAGATTGGACAACCATTTGCCTGAAATGGGATAGGGTTTCCTGCTTGAGCAAGGGGTTGGACTAGAAGACCTCCATGGTCCCTTCCAACTCTATTATTCTTGTTATTCTGAAAGAGCAGACTTATTTGTATGGTATCCTCTAAATGTTGCCAACAGACGTAGGCAACATGTTCTAGTATCTGGGAATCATATTTTTTCCTATTATTTTTGGCAACTAGGAGTTACAGATGGCACATTGATAATGTAATGATGTTATTCAGAGGGATGGAGTGAATATTTTAATTTTTGGCTTGTTTGGGACAAGGTGTATTTGCCTGCTGGTTTATGCATACTGTCATAGGAGGAAATTGTACCATTTGTATGCTCTGGTACCAAATATTGACAGTGTGGTTGTGGGAGCCATAGAATGATCAATTTTTGCTTGACAACAATGTGTTCCACTCATTGACCATAATAATTCAAAAGACTATTGAAAAGCTAGTTTTTAAACAAGCTGTGGTAATGTACGAAACTCTGGCAAGTTGTCACAAGAATAATTTATTTGTGGTCACAATTATTTCTATTAACATATAAGAGAATCCCAAGGCCTAGAAGTGGTTGTTGTATCATATTGTTCTGTAGATTAGGGAACTAAACAAGGGAACTGTATGTCTGTTATAAAAAATAACAATTGCTATTCGTTTTTGGTTTAGATGTTAAGTTCTAAAAATTCCTGGATGTCAACATTGCTTTACCTTGATAAATATTTTTAGGTAATGTGTGGAATTTGAAAATCAAGTGAAATAGGAAACAGAATTACATTTTCCTCATGCAGATGACCCATCAACCATTTATTTTTCACATTTTTTAATTATTCCCCCATCCCCCCACTTCAGAAGACGTGATAACCTAGCAACTTCTAGTTTCTCCAGCAAACAGCCTATAGAGAAGTTTGATTGAACCAGTGGGGAAATATCATAAGTCAATATACAAATTTTCAAAAATTGTAGGAAAATTAAGTTTTTGCTAAAGATCACAGAGTTCCTGACTCACATTCACATACTTTTCTAAGAAGGAAGCCTTCCTGAGCCAGGTTGTTGACATGTTAATCTCTTCTGGTGTGTTACATGGTGTTGGGCAGCATTTTTTAAAAGTCTGAGATGGTATCTATGTTCTTAGTATTTCCCATGTAACACGTTATAAAATAAAAGAGTAGCTTGCATTATTTATATATTTTTAAAGAAGTATCCCTACCCATACAAGCAATAAATCCATTTGCTCAGTACAGGACAAGCAAGCCAAACAAACCAAATGTAGGAGAATAAAAACTGAAATATTATTATTTTTATGAACTTTTTAAAGCAACTTTTTGGAGAAAAGTTTGGAATATGAAAGGACAATGAAAACTATAAAAGGAGTTAGAAAACTTCAGATAGATTTGATACATGTTTAATGGAAATTATTCTGCAGGTTAGATAAGCTGACTATCAGTTAAGGGAGAATAGGACAAACAAGTATGAATTTATGAAAAGGTTATATAAGAAAAAAGAGAATCAGATAAAAAAAAGAGCAGCAAAGTCTCCCTGTCTCTTTGTCATCAAGTAGAGCCCCTTAAATGGGTTCTAGCAGACAGAAAAGCAGAATTCCTGAAAGCAGGCTCAGATTCCATCACTTCTATGAATCACCTCTGAATCTCTGAAGCAATTCAAAGATTTTCAGTACTATAAAAGGGGGCCTTGAACTGCCCTAGATATTTGAACGTTCAATTTGCAGGGGGTATTTCAGCTGAGCTTCCTTCGAACTGAATCACTCTTTGAAACATCAGAGAACATGCCTGTAAGGAACCCTATGAAGAGCTTGCGCCTCAGTGCCCAAGACTGTCTTTTACAAAACTTGCCAATCTTTTTTTTCCCAGTCAATTTGTTTGTTTGCTCACTCAATGCCACACAAACCAGTAATTTTTTCCTACAGAACTTTCCCACTTGGAGATTCCCACAGAATTGCCTACTTCCCATTTTTGGCAATTAATGTGTTAATATTTTAGAGCCATTTTCTAAAATTCTTTTTTTCCCCCAAGTATCTGCAGCTTTAAATACTGTTTTGTTTCATTCGTTTGAATACAAATCGTTTAAAGCATTTTTTTTAAAAAAAACTGTTAAGTTGGGGAAAAATGTTGGAAATTAAACAAAATAAATACTCCTTGCTTGAACATAAGGCTTAACTCTCATCTTCTTTACAGATTGCAAAATCATGTAACCTCAGATTGAACATGCGTATACTTGAGGAAGGCTTCTCTCATGAGTTATACTAAATGGGTAAACCACACACAGATTTAAACATAAGAAAACATATGCTATTAAACATGAAGTAAGAAGCAAGTTAATTTTGGGCATGTTTAACATTAAAATGCAGAAGAGGAAGATAGTCCCTAAATGCCTCCAAATTGGACAATTTTCTTCATGAATTGGTACAATTATTACAGAACAATGTTACTTTCAGCTTTCTTGCTATCAAAAAAAAAAATCCACCAAAGCTATTTTTATATTTGAAACAATACCTTTTCATATGTTAAGTAAATATTTTTTGAATAGGAATAACAAAAAAGCAAAAAGGGTTAGGGAATTGTAGCTTGGTGTATCTGCTGGGAGGTTGGATAATTTTTATAGAACAGATTTTTCCACCCTTTGGAAACCTCTAGTTTCAAAGAGCTTGGGGAACATCGAATTTTAGATTATGAGAAAAAAAAAAGTAATATCTTATTGGAAAGAAAGACCTAACACATATATTATGAAAAAGCCATGGCTGTTGCTGATGGTTGTATCATTTGAACTAAATGTGAATAAATACAACAACTTAATTAAGACACAGAAACCACAACTCTGTGTGGCTTGTTTGCATTAAAATATGGTGGGAAATGCAAACAGCAGATCACATTATTTAAGTTGCTTTCTTATTTTGTTTAGAAAAGAAATACCGTATTTACCGGACTATAGAGTGCATTGGAATATATGCCGCACCCACTAAATTTTAAAAGAAAAAAATATTATTACATATATTAGCCGCACCAGACTATAAGCCGCAGATACATATGCATTGAGTGCGCCAAAAACTACGGGTAGCGTCTTCTTCTTTGCATTGACCTCTTGCGTCTGTTACGTTTTTGCGCCCCCGATGGCAGTTAGCGAAGAAAAAATCTATAGATAAGCCACATTGTTGTACAAACCTCAAGGTTCAAAGCGTGGGGGGGAAAGTAGCGGCTTATAGTCTGGTAAATACGGTAATCAGCATCCTATCTACAGCAAATAAAAGCTTTTTCTCACATATTTCCAACGGTTTTCCCAAAGTATTTTCCTAGTTATATAATAAACTTTTAGAGAGCCCAATAGTCCGTAATACAAAGACCGTAGTGAAAGACTTTTAAAAACTATTGTTATGATGGAATATAGTGCAGAGATAAATTTCCAGGTGGGAGGGGCTGCATTCTAGAGGACTAAGGGGCAATTCAACACACATATTATGAGCGAGATAAAGAGGGTGAAGACAGCACCTCCCTAATAGTTCAGAATATATGGTAGATGCAGATAGTAGAGTCCTCAGCTTAACAAGAACTGCCATGCATCATCAGTAAGAAGTGGTAGGACCACAAAATGGACAAAGTCATAGAAAATGAACAAACTAAAGTGCCCTGGGACTTTAGAATTCAAGCAGGCAGTCACCTGCCACATAATACCCCAGACTTCACAATTGTCAATAAGAAAAACAAAAAATCTAGATAGCAGACATGGTAGTACCTG